TCAGCAGAACCTAGCATAGCCTCTAGCCAAGAATATAAGAGCTGCAACCAGAAAACATCTGGATGACCACACTTTGCCCACCCTTGCCTTAAGAAGGATGTGTTTATTTTGTTTCCCCCAAATGCAAAACCCCAAGGAACTGCTGAACATACCAGCCGCCTTCTGGAAAGCCTCAATGGCACAGTCCACACCTTGCAAGGTGGTACGGTCCTGGCGCGCGCCAATCTGGGTGTGCAATGCCCCGATATTAAAAAGCACGCTCCCCTTTTCGAAAGCCAGAGCCCGCTGGTGACAGGGGACGCCTGTCAGAGAGTCATACCTAGAAAGCGGAAGGTCAGGAACAAAAGAACGGCTGTAAAGGACATAATCTGCATCATATCCTTGCAGGGTGGGAGAGAAAGAAAGGAAGAGGTATAATTTGCTTTCTCTGAACTACAGTCAGCCCTACATATCCACAGATTTTTAATACACTGATTCAAGCATCCACAGCCTGAACATATTCAAAAATAATATATAATAAATGATTTTGCCATTTGATATAAGGGACACCATTTTACTATGCCATTATATTTAATGGGACTTGAGCATCCACAGATTTTGGTATCCATGGGGGGTCTTGGAACCAAACCCCAGTGGATATCAAGGGCCCGCTGTATATAAAAATGGTTTGCATGAAACTCCCCCCTCAATGCACCCATTTCCTTGATAAGATTACTAAGGCCCCCCAACTGACCAGTGGAAGAAGAGACCCAGGTTCTTATTGGGAGGGAAGAAGCGGTTGTCAAGGAAGTAGAGCTGGCTGTAATATTCCATGAGCAGCTCCAACCCTGCTTCGTTCCGGCTGGGCGTCCGCATGGCCTATTCGAAAGAAAAGGTGGCAGAGAGTCAGAGAGAAAAAAGCCAACAATACACATCCAAAGACTCAAAATACTGCTTTTTCCCTTTTGCTTTCTGCATAGCACTGGTTGAAACCACAACTCCAAAGGGTGCCAGTCCATTTCTAAGCACAGTTCAGAATGCTGGTTATGACCCATCAAGCCCTATGTGATTC